TAAAGAACCCTTCTCCACACCTTTAGGCGTATAGGGCTAGACCTGTATTTTATAGACCAATCGGCACAAGGTGGGAGATGTTGTAAGCATCACGCTGACCGCCTTTACTTCCCGGGACTGCATCTGGTACCCACTCAAGGCTGGGTCGACCTGCAAGCCAAAGTCATTTTTGGAAAAAAGCCTGGCTCCTCCAGGGAGCGAACTATCGACCTACCGATCTGCAGGAGAGCGTCTAGCCGCTCCGCCACGGCAACTCCCACGCATGTAGATACTCCAGAGCTTTTTAATTACAGTTTATGGGATTAATTTCTCGCCACATAAAGAGGAGAGATCCCAGATCTGGTCAGTTAGCATTCCTGTCAAAACCAAACTGTGTGGATCAGTGGAAGACACGTGACACGTTACAGCCTTTAAACAGACCTGTAGCCTTTCCATCTGGAAATTACTAGCAGTGATAACGAAAAGAAAGAAGTTTTCACCATTCACTGACAATCTTCGAGTCACCTACAAATCTTCTACTCCTAATTCACCCAACCCCTCCTCGTCAGTTACCCCCGTATTTGCCTACCACCCATCTTCAACTCGTTACTCATCTTTTACTTGTTACTGAAAACAATTTGTACTCTTGTTTGGAAAAAGACAATGAACATCGTTATGTCATAAAGTTTCTGACATAAAATGTTAATTGATCGTTACGTGACACAAAAAGCCAACGTGCAAACTTGTGTCAGTTAAAGACACAGATGTCGACTACTGACTCAGTCCATGTCAGTAAAAGAGACAGACACTCACCACAGACACAGTACATGTCAGTAAAAAAGAAATACGTCAACTACTGTCACAATCCATGTCAGTAAAAGAGACAGAAATCCAACACTGACACAGTCCATGTCACTAAAAGAGACAGACACTCAACACTGACACAGACCATGTCAGTAAAAGAGACAGAAACCCAACACTGACACAGTCCATGTCACTAAAAGAGACAGACACCAAACACAGAAACGATCCGTGACAGAAAATAACATAACCGTTCATCGACAGGCGGACCCCTGTGTGTGAGGGGTCAGGGAGATTTAACGAGAAGACAGAAAAGGAGACCAGAAGATACAGACGATGTTACATAGGGCGAATAAGATGCACTGAAAGATCATGTGTATACAAATATTTGCGCATACAGTCAATCAGTAGCAGGTCCTTTGCTGAAGCTTGCCACCCACAACAACCCTCCGGAAATCTTCTCGATCACAAGCAAGTTGTCCCACATCCGATACACCCACCACATCATCCACCACATACTGCACCCATTTTCTCTTTGGCATTCCTTTTCCTCTCTTCCAAGGCATTTACCCCTCCAATATTGTTCTATCTAAACTTTCGTGATGTTTCAAAATGGTCGTGATGACAAAATATTTCAATTTTCTGGGTTTTGTCGTCTTTATTAGGCAATCTTCTTCACTTTTCAGTTCTTTAAGTATGGATGTATTTGTTCTTTTCTTTACCCGTGATATTCTTAGAAACCGTCTTTAACATTTGTATTCAAAGTCATTTATGCGCTGTTCAGCTTGTTAAGTAAGTGTCCAAGTCTCGCAGGCGTATCGTGCAATGTGAAAGATGCATGCTCTTAGAAATCTTATTTTTGTAGTTCTGTCTGTCCAATTCTAAAATTTAATTATCAATGCCCTCGAGAAATGGAAGGGATGGATGGAGGACTTTGGTGGCAGTGGACATCCACAACAATCGCCAGAAATGGCAGACTTGGGAATTAAGATCGGCACAGCAAAAAACGAGACGCAACACCGGACACGTCAGAAGATTTGTTAATCACACATAGAACTGGTACTATTAGCCATCGGATGTTGGGATTCATACTGAGGGGAGGACATTTCTGAGCACCTCCCCATGGACATGTCCGGAGTGCAATGATGATAACCCAACTAACTAACTAACTAACTAACTAACTAACTAACTAACTAACTAACTAACTAACTAACTAACTAACTAACTAACTAACTAACTAACTAACTAACTAACTAACTAATTAGGGAGCTGAGTGATTTCGGGGTATGGCGTCCGCCTTGAGTGCTGTAGGTCCCGGGTTCAAGCCCTGGTGAAGGTTTGGATTTTTTCCCGTGGACTTCTGGTAATTTCCCCTGGTCTCTGGGTAGTAAGGATGGACGCCTGTGTGTATTTTTCGCACGTAAAAGGTCCTCTGGTAGTTGGAAATCGAAAAGAGTAACCAAAGGGCGCTGCCCAGGCAAAATGCGGAGTTAAAAATATACCCAAAACATATTCAGGACCCTCGCCGGTGCTACGGAGTTGGTACACTGGGCTGAGATTCTTCTGACTCAGGTTTGAGTTAGAAGAAGAACAGAGCACTTATGGGTTACTACCCTTGTGCCATGATGTTGATCGGTTGTTAAAACATTAACCTAATTTTGGTTAAAACTGCATTTTGTGAGAACCAAGTGACGACGATGAACCTGCACAACCATGACCAGACATCATAAACAACATGTTAAAAGGGGTGTGGCCAGACAAGAACAACATGCAGGAAGGCAGAGAAGAAGAAGAAATGTAACACAGGACTAGTGTTGTGCGCCAGCCACTACACAACGCGGGTTGTACTGAGGAATGGATCCCAGTAGTAATTGACTGAATGGTTCGATGTACGATGAGGAAAATCTGTCGATCATTTAACTAACTAACTAACTAACTAACTAACTAACTAACTAACTAACTAACTAACTAACTAACTAACTAACTAACTAACTAACTAACTAACTAACTAACCGACTAACTAACAAACTCACCAAATCACTAACTAACTAACAAACTCACCAAATCACTAACTAACTAACCGACTAACTAACTAACTAGAATCTAACTAACTAACTAACTAACTAACTAACTAACTAACTAACTACTAAACTAACTAACTAACTAACTAACTAACTAACTAACTAACTAACTAACTAACTAACTAACTAACTAGCTAACTAGCTGACTAACAAACTAACTGGCTAACTGCATTCCCTAGAAGTAATGACCGTTGCACACACAAACATGCACACACACTCACTAACACCCACACACTCATACACACATATACAAACATATTCAGACACAAATGTATACACACTCACAAACATAGACATACACGCGTGCGCATATACATAAAGACAACGTGAAACCTCGCTAAGACGAATTTAAGGGACCAAATAAATCAATAATTTGCCTTATAAAAATGCATGCTACCCAGGAAATAATAAATGTATAAGGAATAATATATTTCTGGTGGCACTATAATTGTGTTCATGTTAACCAGAGGTTCGCCTTAAGTTAGTTGGTGTTAACGAGATCTTACTGCTATATGTATGTATATATTTTTGTATGTGATGAGGTGCACCTTTCTCTTCCTCCAGGACGGCAACGTTGTACAAGGCAGGGTTGCAGACTGGCGGGTTGTCGATTGATGTCTCTGACAGTCAGTGTGATGGTTGTTGTGGTCGTCAGCGTGCCGTCGGTAGCTGCAAACAAAAGACCAGATTTAATGTCTGTACTTCTTCACCTTCTGCTGCCTTCGCCTAGAAAATCACGACTGGCATGTGGAGCTGTGGTTTACAGTTAGGCTGCGATACTTGCATATTTTGGATGAACGTCCGATTTCAGGGAATTCCAAATTCGTCGCAGTGGGTCTCACCTCAAAAGACCCACTCCCCACCCCCATATTCACCACCAAATAGGGCTCAAGAATCCGCCAAGGGAAAGTATATTGCAGATGTCTTCTTCTGGTATTGTTTCCTGTTTCTCTGACTCTTTTTCTATTTAATCTGCTGTCATAAAGCGGCGTCCATGGCTTAGGCGTTACTAGTTCGACTCGTAATGCCAACCTACCGCGACTGAAACCCATTGCTGGCTGCGTTGATTTTTATCAAGGTATGGGGCGTTGCAGGTGGACCCAGCCTTAAATAGGTACCAGGATGTATGTCTTGAGGAAGTAAAGACTGGCGGCGTAATGCTGACCACATAACCCATGTAGTGCCATTAGGTCTGTGAAAATATGGGTGCTCTTTCCATATGCCCGATGCGCCTAAAGGCGTGAAAAGGGATCTTTACTTTTTTATTGGTGTCATAATTGTTAAGGAAACATAAGAGAATTCTCTACAGGAAGGATGCTGTGATTTACACAGATGAGTTTGTAATTCGCCATGCGAGAAGCTCTTGGGATTTAATGGCTTTGGTTGGAGTCAGAATTGTGAAGCAAGATTCTGGTGCTGTTGTTTGACCGCAAGTAGTCTAACTAAGGAGGTCGTGGCAGTGAACAAAGCAAAATATGGCTGAAGACAGGCTTTTTTCACTCGTATGCTTTCTCAGTGACTCAATAAGTATGCTCAGGAAGACAGAGATGGGCAGCGGTTCGAGTCTCTAAAGCGGTCCTGTCTGCGACATATCAGTTTCGTGTTTGTGCCAGGACACGCAGGCATGCACGAAAATGACAAGCCAAGGATCAGGCATACATTCTGAATGCTTTACGAGAAGTAAGACGTTTGCGAGAAACAAGGGATGACAGTGAATCTGGAAACATAACCAGACTGCAAGAGCAAGAGCCAGACAAGAGCACCACGCAGGAAGCCAAAGAAGATTAAGAAACCAATACAGAACTGGTGTCGTCAGCAGCTAAGTGAATTGTGATTTACTGAGGATAGGATCAGAGAACGTATGGACTGAATGGTTCGATGTGCAATGAGGATAATCTGCAGGCTGACTAACTAACTAAATATCAGGGCAAACGGCTTGTCAACTTCGCTATAGAGACCCTAATTGTAATTGTTGGTGGAACATACAGGAACAACTGATGGATTACCAAAGCCCCCCCCCCCCTTTCCCCCCCCCCCAAAAAAAAAAAAATTCTGCGAAGTCCTGTAAAGGATACGCAACTACATAAAAAAATGGAGGGGGGGGGGGGGGGTGAATAACACAAAAGCGCAGATTCTCACCAAACAAGATGGGCTTGTAGACTCGAAGCTGGGTGCCGGGGTCCACGTCGAGGACAGAGTTGAGTGAGATCTGCCCGCTGCTGGGGTCGATGTTCAGAATCTGGGCATCATCCCCTGGGGAAGCAAACGGCACACGAGTTACACGTTACGCCTCTGTAGGTTTCCCATAGACAATCTAGGCAACCAGTGAATGAGTGAGAACATGTGAGTGAGAGAGCAATCAGGGGTGCTTTATTAATATCCTATTCCCAGATGACGTCACAGGACAATCCAACATTTTAGAGGGTTTCGCGGCTTTTTGATGCTTTTAACCCCAAAACATCTAGAACTGGCCCTAACCCCAACCCACCTACGCCTAACAAGAAAGTGCAGCCTAAGTCCCATGACTGCATGCAGCCTAGGTACCACGACTGCATGCAGCCTATCTACCAACTTCCTGACATATTAGACTGTCCCGTGACCTATGGATTTTCCTTGTTTGAGGTAGGATATTAAAAAAAGCACACAATCAGGTGAGAGTGAGGTAGTGAGTAGGGGATGAGAGTGAATTAGTGGGGCGAGTGTTTATGCGTGTGCGGCGGGGACAGAGTAGAGAGAGAGAGAGAGAGAGAGAGAGAGAGAGAGAGAGAGAGAGAGAGAGAGAGAGAGAAAGAGAGAGAATAGAGAGAAAGATGAGACAAAACGAACGTACAAAGGAACGAACAAACTTTTTTTAAAGGGCTACATATTGGGCATGCAGACCCGTCTTACATTCGGCCCTTCTAAGTACTTATCTTTCAGACCACAACCGCATGCTATCAATAATGCATGTAATGTTCAAATAAAAAAATACACAATAAAATAACGCATATACACATATTGTACACGCAGTCATTTACACTCCGATTATACAGGTACACATACACTCTAATATGCCAACACGTACACAGACACAAGCACACCCATACATATAAATATATACATACACCCACACACACACTCAGACAAATATATACGCGCACTCATTCTCGTCAGAAACATTCAAGCACCTACACTCATGTCTGCACATATATGAATTCCAGCTTTATATATATATATATATTTGAGTGCATGTATGTATGTGTGTATGTATATATATTTTAATGCATGCATGTATGTGTTATATGTAATATAGTATATATATATATATATATATCTATATTATATATATATATATATGATATATATATATATATTATAAATATATACATATAAGCACTATATATATATATATACATACATAAAAAGCACTCAAATGTATATCATGTGTATGTGTGTATCTATGTATGTGTATGTGTATATATATATATATATATATATATATATATATATATATATATATATATATATATATATGCACACACACATGCACTCATACATACATAAGCGCTCATACATATGCATAAAAGAGAAGAGGGAGAAGAGAAGAGAGAGTGGAGAGAGAAAGAGGAAGAGGGGGAGATAGAAGAGATGAATGAGCTAGCGACCTGAGTGAAAGTGATATGTTGTGTGAGTGTGAGAGGGAAATAGAGCGCAACTGAAGACTTAAAAGATGAGTGACAGAGACAGACAGTCAGGAAGACAGTGGAAGGAGAGAGCGACTTACCGTGTCAATAGATGAAACTTAGACAGTTACAGATCTAGCGGGCTCGCATACAAGACCGACACAGACACACATGGAAAGTGGCAGATCTAGTGGCTCGCATACAAGACCGACATAGACACACATGGAAAGTCGGAGATCTAGTGGCTCGCATACAAGACCGACATAGACACACATGGAAAGTCGGAGATCTGGTGGCTCGCATACAAGACCGACATAGACACACATGGAAAGTCGCAGATCTGGTGGCTCGCATACAAGACCGACACAGACACACATGGAAAGTCGCAGATCAGGAACTTACATAGAAGGCCGACATGGACAAACATAGACGGTCATAGATCTGATGGCTGGCCTAGAAGGTCGACATAGACAGTCACATATAAGATGGCTCACTCGTAAGGGCCCACATTGACAAACATAGCCAGTGATAGATCTTTAGATGCCCGGCTCTTTAGCGAAGTTGGTTAAACCTGACTTTCGCGGTGGCCGGGTGACGAACTCCTTGTGGTCCGGGTTCACTCCCGGGGGTAGGCAGAAAAGCCACATTTCTCCCAGATTAACGGTACCTATAATGGAATCAAGGCCGAAGGGTTGCGATATCCATAGTACCGAGCCAAAGGGTTTACAACTCATGGTTTCTGGATACGTAAAAAAAAAAAAAAAAAAGCTCTTTAGATCACCTAGAAGGCCGATATAGACAAACATAGAGAGTAATAAATATGGTGGCTCACCAAGGAGACTGACATTGACACAGAGTCACAGATCTAGGGGTTTACTCAGAAGGCCGACAGAGACAAACATAGCACAGATCTTTTGGCTCACCAAAAAGGCCGACAGAGACAAACATAGCACAGATCTTTTGGCTCACCAAAAAGGCCGACAGAGACAAACATAGCACAGATTTTTTGGCTCACCAAAAAGACCGACATAGACACTGTCCCCGACGTCCACGTCCGAGAAGGACATGGAGTAGTTGAGCAGGGTGCCTATGGGCATCTCCTCGTTGATCTCCAGGTCGGCCTGGTTCAGTCTCAGGGTGGGCGGGTTGTCGTTGGCGTTGAGGACCTTGACATTGATCACAGCAGTGACAGCGTCCTCTCTGTCCTTGACCCTGGAGGGTTTATATGGTTAAACATATAGTCTCACACATATATCTGACGTGCACATGTTATATCGCTCACCCATATGACGTACCTACAATATATGACACACCCATATGTTATATGGGGCTAACAAATCTGAAATACATGCATTATATGAGTTTTCTAGTGTGTTCTTCTTTCTACTTTTTTTATGAGTGCCGGTCAAGACATTCTGTGTTACTTTCCTAATATATAATATTAAACAGCCTCAAGGGTTCCCCCTCTGTTTATTTATGGAAATGACGTATACATACCGGAACCTCCCAATCAAATACCTTTCTGAAATGTTTGCGTATTCTAGACAAAACATTAAGGTCTACTGTGTTTGTAAATTGTCGTTGTGCTTGTTATTCGACCTATGGTTCCTTAATATAAATTTCGGTAACCTATGGTGCCATTTTAATGGTTTGAAATTAATTCTGTCCGTATTCCATATATGGATTTCAAGATGTACGATAGACATGGCCAATAAGACACCTTTTTTAGGGGTGGCTGGTTGACCATGTTCTTAGTGCACTTGTTTCCATAGCGAGGCGCACACGCCATCAGGAGGTGACTGGTTCGATTCCCGGCACGGTAGCTATACCTTTCGATTTTCATGTTGTCTAATGTGTTCTTCTATCTTTCTACTTCTTTCTATGAGTGCCGATCAATACATTTTCTATTACGCCATCAGATGACACACCCATATGACGTACACTTGTTATATAAGTCACACATCTGACATACACATGTTATATAAACAACAAACGTGACGTAAACATGTTATATAAACCGCAAACGTTAAGTAAACATGTTATATTAACCGCAAACGTGACGTAAACATGTTATATAAACTTTAACCCGATGTCATGCACATCATAAACCTGATGTACACGTGTCAGATAAAATCATAAAACTGGCATACACATTTTATAAAAATCATAAAGGTGACATAAACATATTACATCAATCATAAAGATGACATAAACATATTACATAATCTATAAAGATGACATAAACATAATGCATAAATCATAAAGCTGACATGCACTCGTTTTAAAAATAAAAAACCAGACAGACAAGAGTCAGTTTACTAATAAACTTGTCTTGTACGTAGGAGATGAATAGTGACACACTTATTGTGATCAACACACTCATAGTGATCAACGTAGAGTCTACTTGAGACATAGACCTAAGACATCGAGAGTTGTTGTTAAGACCTAAGACATGGAGAGATGTAGTTGATACCTAAGACACGGAGAGACGTAGTTGAGACCTAAGACATAAAGAGACGTAGTTGAGACCTAAGACATTTAGAGTTGTTGTTAAGACCTAAGACACGGAGAGACGTAGTTAAGACCTAAGACACGGAGAGACGTAGTTAAGACCTAAGACACGGAGAGACGTAGTTAAGACCTAAGACATAAAGAGACGTAGTTGAGACCTAAGACACGGAGAGACGAAGTTGAGACTTAAGACATTTAGAGTTGTTGTTAAGACCTAAGACACGGAGAGACATAGTTAAGAACTAAGACATGGAAAGACGTAGTTGAGACCTAAGACACGGAGAGACGTAGTTGAGACCTAAGTCACGAAGAAACGTAGTTGAGACCTAAGAGATCGAGAGTTGTTGTTAAGACCTAAGACATGGAGAGACTTAGTTGAGACCTAAGACACGGAGAGACGTAGTTTAGACCTAAGACACGGAGAAACGTAATTGAAACCTAAGACATGGAGAGATGTAGCTGAAACCTAAGACATGGAGAGATGTAGCTAAAACCTAAGACATGGAGAGATGTAGCTGAAACCTAAGACATGGAGAGATGTAGCTAAAACCTAAGACATGGAGAGATGTAGCTGAAACCTAAGACATGGAGAGATGTAGCTGAAACCTAAGACATGGAGAGATGTAGCTGAAACCTAAGACATGGAGAGATGTAGCTGAAACCTAAGACATGGAGAGATGTAGCTGAAACTTAAAACATGGAGAGATGTAGCTAAAACCTAAGACATAGAGAGATGTAGCTGATACCACAGAAATGCAGAGACGTAGTTAAAACCTACTATATCGAGAGACGTAGAGACCTCAGACATGAAGAGCTGTATTTGAAACTTAGGACATGAAGAGACGTTGTTGAAACCTACACATTGAGAGACACAGCTAAGACCTAAGACACGGAGAGACGTAGCTAAGACCTAGTACATCGAGAGACGTAGAGACCTCAGACATCGAGAGACGTAGAGACCTCAGACATCGAGAGACGTAGAGACCTCAGACATCGAGAGACGTAGAGACCTCAGACATCGAGAGACGAAGTTAAAACCTAAGACATAAAGAGACACAGCAGAGACCTAAGACATCGAGAGACATACCTGAGACATAAGACACAGAAATACTTACTGTATGGTCATGTCGAAATTTTTCCTGGTCTCAAAGTCCAAGCCTGGTTCCTTGTTGCTGACAACCAGGTTAATGTAATACTGACCGGAAGATACAGTTAACATGTGAATGATAAATGTAATACTGGCAGTGAGATACAGTTAACATGTCACAGATGGATATAATACTGGCAGGAAGATACAGTTAACACGTCACAGATGGATATAATACTGGCAGGAAGATACAGTTAACACGTCACAGATGGATGTAATACTGGCAGGAAGATACAGTTAACATGTCACAGATGGATGTAATACTGGCGGGAAGATATAGTTAACATGTCACAGATTGATGTAATACTGGCAGGAAGATACAGTTAACACGTCACAGATTGATGTAATACTGTCAGGAAGATACAGTTAACATGTCGCAGATAGATGTAATACTGGCGGGAAGATATAGTTAACATGTCACAGATTGATGTAATACTGGCGGGAAGATACAGTTAACATGTCACAGATTGATGTAATACTGGCGGGAAAATATAGTTAACATGTCACAGATTAATGTAATACTGGCGGGAAGATATAGTTAACATGTCACAGATTAATGTAATACTGGCGGGAAGATATAGTTAACATGTCACAGATTGGTGTAATACTGGCAGGAAGATACAGTTAACAGGTCATATATTGATGTAATACTGGCGGGAAGATACAGTTAACATGTCACAGATTGATGTAATACTGGCGGGAAGATATAGTTAACATGTCACAGATTGACGTAATACTGACAGGAAGATACAGTTAACACGTCACAGATTGATGTAATTCTGTCAGGAAGATACAGTTAACATGTCGCAGATAGATGTAATACTGGCGGGAAGATATAGTTAACATGTCACAGATTGATGTAATACTGGCGGGAAGATACAGTTAACATGTCACAGATTGATGTAATACTGGCGGGAAGATACAGTTAACATGTCACAGATAGATGTAATACTGGCGGGAAGATACAGTTATGCCACAGAGAGATGTTATGCTGGCGGGAAGATACAGTTAACATGTCACGGATAGATGTAATACTGGCAGGAAGATAGAGTTGACATGTCACAGATTGATAAAATGCTGGCGGCAAGATACAGTTAACATGTCACAGATTGATGTAATGCTGACGGGAAGATACAGTTAACATGTCACAGATAGATGTAATGCTGGCGGGAATATACAGTTAACATGTCACGGATTGATGTAGTGCTGGCAGGAAGATACAGTTAACATGACACAGATTGATGTAATACTGGCAGGAAGATACAGTTAACATGTCACAGATTGATATAATGCTGGCGGGAAACACAACTTTCCTGTGACTGACTACTTTGTGGAATGTCCATAGCGTTGCTTGTATCGCCTACATATCAGTTTACTTGGAGTCGGCAAGCCTTTTATAGTTTGGGATGCGTGTTGAAGAAAAGCTAGATCAGATGATACCCAGGGACGGAGAATTTTATCACCGCCTCCCCCCTTTCCCGCCCCAAACACACACTCACACACATTGTTGTTCGTCCATCACGAGCGATGAAGACCACTTTCATCCAAAGTAGAAATGATCAATGATTATGAGTAAAAAGGTGGCTAATTAGTCCAGTATGAGCCTGGAAAGTTCTTGAGCAGTGCGGACAACAGATGAAAGCCGCAGTAAGTCTGGGATTAGCTGTACGATTCTTTCTAGTCTGTCTCCTTTTCTCTGCCTGTGCAACTTCCGCTGTCTGACAAACACATACTCACACACACACACATACAAAAACACACTACAACTTCATGTGTGGGTTCTAGGGTCCCTTTGTTGGGACAATAATAGACCTACTGCCTGCCAACAAGCATGTCGTAAGATGCGACTAATCGGGAGCTTTCTTCGAAGTCCGAGTACATCTACCTGAGAATCAAAGAACCAACAGTCCCAAAGAAAAAAGCAAGATCTGTAAAACGAATGAACAGGCAAAACCCAGGTGCTGTGGACACAATTGAAATCCAGAAATGGACGACAAACCAGGTCAGAATACCGTAACCCCGAGTGGGTTCCGGGGCTCCCTTTGTGGGGGAAAGCAAGAATAAACCCACTGCTTACCCAAAAGCATGTCGTAAGAGTTTACTAATTGGCAGCTTCATTTGAAGTCAGAGTGCATCTGTCTGAGAGACAAGGAACCAACAGTCTGCACACAGACTGTTAAACGGATACACACGCAACACTCAGGATCTGGAACAGGACTGCAGTCCAGAAGTGGACGAACAACCACAAAGTTTACAGCTGGTGAACGCAAAGAAGAAGAAGAAAAAGAAGAAGAAGAAGAAAAAGAAGAAGAAGAAGAAGAAGAAGAAGAAGAAGAAGAAGAAGAAGAAGAAGAAGAAGAAGAAGAAGAAGAAGAAGAAGAAGAAGAAGAAGAAGAAGAAGAAGAAGAAGAAGAAGAAGAGAAGAAGAAGAAGAAGAAGAGAAGAAGAAGAAGAAGAATAAGAAGAAGAAGAAGAAGAAGAAGAAGAAGAAGAAGAAGAAGAAGAAGAAGAAGAAGAAGAAGAAGAAGAAGAAGAAGAAGAAGAAGAAGAAGAAGAAGAAGAAGAAAAAAAAGAAGAAGAAGAAGAAGAAGAAGAAGAAGAAAGAAGAAAGAAGAAGAAGAAGAAGAAGAAAAGAAGAAGAAGAAGAAGAAGAAGAAGAAGAAGAAGAAGAAGAAGAAAGAAGAACGAAGAAGAAAAGAAGAAGAAGAAGAAGAAGAAGAAGAAGAAGAAGAAGAAGAAGAAGAGAAGAAGAAGAAAGAAGAAGAAGAAGAAGAAGAAGAAGAAGAAGAAAGAAGAAGAAGAGAAGAAGAAGAAGAAGAAGAAGAGAAAGAAGAAGAAGAAGAAAAAGAAGAAGAAGAAGAAGAAGAAGAAGAAGAAGAAGAAGAAGAAAGAAGAAGAAGAAGAAGAAGAAGAAGAAGAAGAAGAAAAAGAAGAAGAAGAAAAAGACGAAGAAGAAGAAGAAGAAGAAGAAGAAGAAGAAGACTAAGAAGAAAAAGAAGAAAAAGAAGAAGAAGAAGAAGAAGAAGAAGAAGAAGAAGAAGAAGAATAAGAAGAAGACTAACAGAGATGGCAGATTACCTCACTGATCGGAATATTGATCAGAGACACTCTCAAGGAGGTCATGTCGAAGACAAAAGGGACGTCTGGGGTCAGGACCTTGAACTCTAGCAGGTCTCCTTCAGCATCGCTGGCAAACAAGTTGAAGACGGCCTCGCCAACTCTGGCATCTTCTCTCACACTGATGGACGTCCCGCGAGGCACATTTCTGATCCGGGGCGGGAAGTTCACCTCTGAAAGCCATACATTCAGTTAGTTGAATAAATAGGTTTCAAGGAGTTGTCGAATCAATCTAAATACTAGACTTATTCAAATATTCAGTCTATTCAGTAATTTAATATCGAAACAATACATACTTATTAGTTAGTTAGCTAGTTATTAAGTCTTCCTTTTGAGACGATGGCGGCTCACAAGGCAGAGGTCATAGCTCTCCATGTCTGGCGGTTCGTTGCCACCTGCTTTAGGTCTTAGATGTTTGTTAGGCCCATGGTTGAACCTTCCCTGGTGATGGTTCTACTATAGTAGTGACTCTCAGCCTTCCTTATACAGGGACCCTTTAATGCAGTTCCCTCATGTTGTGGCGACCCCTTAATACAGTTCCCTCATGTTGTGGCGACCCTTTAATACAGTTCCCTCATGTTGTGGCGACCCTTTCATACAGTTCCCTCATGTTGTGGCGACCCTTTCATACAGTTCCCTCATGTTGTGGCGACCCTTTCATACAGTTCCCTCATGTTGTGTCTACCCTAAAACAATTATTTTCCTTCATAACTCTAATCAGTATCTGTTTTCCGATGGTCTTAGGCGACCCCTGTGAAATGGTCGTTAGACGCAAAAAACGAAAAGGGTCGCAACCGGCAGGTTAAGAGCCGCTGTATTAGAGTTCCTGCTGGTTTTCCCCGTTTTCTTTTCCCTTCCGGTGTCCATGTAAGGGCTTGATGGGGGAGTCTGGTCTTATCCATTCAGAGAGCATGAACGATGTAGTTCCAGCGGCGCTTTCTTATAAACCGGATACATTGTCTTGCTTGGTTTCTTGTCTTATTTGCGTATTGTCCAGTGCAGATTTAATATTCTTTTAAGACATTTTTTCTCCGATAAGTCGATTTTTTTAAGAGCTACAGCTGCTTTCTCACTCTCACATCGACATGTAAGCTCTGGAATCTCATAAGAGATAAAGATAAAAAAAATTATTGCACAAATACACTAAACATGTAAAAAGTCTTTCGCTCTCCTCTTTCTCCTCGATGTTTAAATATACCTATAAAACTAAAATATATATGTGTATTCAACGTTGTTCCACTGATTACTGACACGAACAACTGTGATAGTGTCCTTGACCTGCGACCCAGCATACAGAACACGAGAAAAAGGACCAAACACCAGATCAAAGAGAGTCGCCTTGGCAGAGCGGCTAGACGCTCGCCGCGGAACGGAAGGTCGTGGGTTCGCTCCCTGGCGGAGCCGGACTTTTCTTCAAAAATGACCTTGTCTTCCAGGTCGACCCAGCCTTGAGTGGGTACCGGGTGCAGTCACGGGAAGTAAAAGCGGCCGGCGTGATGCTGACCACATCACCCATCTTGTGCCGATTGGTCTTTAAAAATATAGGTCTAGCCCTATATGCCCTATACCCCTTAAGGCGTGGAAAAGGGTCCTTTATTTTTTACTTTTTACTTACCAGATCAAAGTTCATTGACAGGTGAGGCTGATAAATGACATCAGATACGGAGAATATCTAAATGACAGGTGAGGCTGATAAATGACATCAGATACGGAGAATATCTAAATGACAGGTGAGGCTGATAAATGACATCAGATACGGAGAATATCTAAATGACAGGTGAGGCTGATAAATGACATCAGATACGGAGAATATCTAAATGACAGGTGAGGCTGATAAATGACATCAGATACGGAGAATATCTAAATGACAGGTGAGGCTGATAAATGACATCAGATACGGAGAATATCTAAATGGCAGGTGAGGCTGATAAATGACATCAGATACGGAGAATATCTAAATGACAGGTGAGGCTGATAAATGACATCAGATACGGAGAATATCTAAATGACAGGTTAGCCTAAAGTCAGCATCAGAAACATACCTGGACAGGATAGCAGCGTCGAAACGACAAGCTGTCTATATAATTACGAAACGGAGAAGACTCAGAGATATACTATGCTAGTCTCCCCGTGTGGGTTCCGGGGCCCTATTATAGGGAAAACAAGAAGGGACCCACTGACCACCCAAAAGCATGACGTAAGAGTCGACTAATTAGAAGCTTCCTTTGAAGTCGGAGTGCATCTGTCTGAGAGGCAAGGAACTAGCAGTCTGCATACAAATGAGTCAGGTCTGTAAAACGGATGCACACTCAACACTCAGGTTTTGGAACAGGACTGAGGTCCAGAAGTGGATGAACAACTAGAACTTTCCGCCAGAGTTTACAGCTGGTGAACGCGAAGAAGAAGAAGACTATGCCAGTCGTTCCCTTGTAGGATGCAATTTTTCTTTATTTGAAGCCCCACCATAACTTTTTCTGGGAGCCCTGAATATAACTGGGTCATAAATATGGCCTAACGGCTGAAAGGAGTTTCTGGGACCTCTCCAAGTTGATTATCATCCGCATGGTGGCACTTTGTGTCACCGGGTGTTTATCGCTTGTGTGATGTCCTAGTGGGGTACAACTAGAGAAAGATAGATAGATAGATAGATAGATAGATAGATAGATAGATAGATAGATAGATAGATAGATAGATAGATAGATAGATAGATAGATAGATAGATAGATAGATAGATAGATAGATAGATAGATAGATAGATATAGGTAGGTAGGTAGGTAGGTAGGTAGGTAGGTAGGTAGGTAGGTAGATAAATCGATAGACGGACGGACGGACGGACAGACAGACAGACAGACAGACAGACAGACAGACAGACAGACAGACAGACAGACAGACAGACAGACAGACAGACAGACAGACAGACAGACAGACAGACAGACAGACAGATAGACAGATAGATAGATAGATAGATAGATAGATAGATAGATAGATAGATAGATAGATAGATAGATAGATAGATAGATAGATAGATAGATAGATAGATAGATAGATAGATAGATAGATAGATAGATAGATAGATAGATAGATAGATAGATAGATAGATAGATAGATAGATAGATAGATAGATAGATAGATAGATAGATAGATAGATAGATAGATAGATAGATAGATAGATAGATAGATAGATAGAGATAGATAGATAGATAGATAGACTAGATATAGATAGATAGATAGATAGATAGAGAGAGAGAGAGAGAGAGAGAGAGAGAGAGAGAGAGAGAGAGAGAGAAAGAGAGAGAGAGAGAAAGAGAGAGACAGACTCAGAAATATTTTTCTTCTTCTTCTACGCAGTCACCGGCTGTGAGCTCTGCCTGTCCGATCACGTTTTTTTTTTTGGGGGGGGGGGGGGGGGGGGGGGTGTCATGTTCCAGAACTGAGTTTTTCGCGAATATTCGTTTTACATATCTGGCTTACTTGTATGCAGACTGTTGGTTCCTCGCCTCTAAGAGGATGTAGGTAAAACTCCTAAGTAGTCGGCTTTACGATTGTTTATGTATTATGATTGTTAGAAGGCAATAGGGCTTCCCCCACCCCCGCCACCACATTGGGTCTCTGCACCCACACAGGACCAGAAATAGATAGAAAAAATATGAGACAGATGAAGAAGGAATGACAAGAGATAGTTTAGGAGATAGTGGCTTGATAGGCTTGGGGGAGAAGAAGAAGAAGAGGAGGGAGGCGAACAAACTTTATTTTTAAAAGGTTAAGAATTGGGCGGTGGTCGAAGTAACAAGAAGGGACAAAGTCCGCAATCAGACAATACGTCAAGATCTTGATACCAACAAATTACAAACCCGACTGGATCAGTCCGAGTTACGATGGTTTGGACATGTATGCACAATGGGAAAAAATTGGCCACCATGATGGTAGTAGTAGTCGTAGTAGTAGTAGTAGTAGTAGTAGTAGTAGTAGTAGTAGTAGTAGTAGTAGTAGTAGTAGTAGTAGTAGTAGTAGTAGTAGTAGTAGTAGTAGTAGTAGTAGTAGTAGTGGTGGTGGTGGTAGTAATAGTAGTAGTAGTAGTAGTAGTAGTAGTAGTAGTAGTAGTAGTAGTAGTAGTAGTAGTAGTAGTAGTAGTAGTAGTAGTAGTAGTAGTAGTAGCAGTAGTAGTAGTAGTAGTAGTAGTAGTAGTAGTAGTAGTAGTAGTAGTAGTAGTAGTAGTAGTAGTAGTAGTAGTAGTAGTAGTAGTAGTAGTAGTAGTAGTAGTAGTAGTAGTAGTACATTTTACCCCACCAGGACATCACACAAGCGATAAACATCCGATGACACAAATTGCCACCATGTGGATGATTAACACCCGTGGAGAGGTCCCAGAAACTGTGTTCAGCCAAAAGACCATATTAATGGTCGGGCTATATTGCGGCCCCTGGTAAGAGCCAGGGTGGGGCTTCAAAATAACAAAAAAAAAAAAATTGCATCTCACAAGGAGATGACAGGACAATGCAGGCATAGGAGGCTAAGAACCAAGGAAACAGACCTCCAGGGCGATCCAGGGTCCGCTGGGAAGACAACATCCGACAGTCCCTAACTGACAAAGGACTGGAATGGAACACAGCCAGGAAGAAAACGTCTGATAGAGACATCTGGCGACCTGTCTGGCAAACCTCTACACCCCTAGGTAAAAAAGGAACGACTAAGAAAGTAATTAGGAACTGGGCACGTTCTGGTCTCCCTCTTTTCTTATATCATGTCATTCAAACATCAAGAAATAGTAAGAGTAAAACAGTAGGGAAGTAAGAGGATAAAGTAGATAGATACACATAGAGGAAGCTGTAAAGCTTCATGTCCGTGGGAGTGGAGAATATCGGTATGATGATGAGGAAGAATGTTGAATGCTGAATTAGTAAATGACATCATAGCACTCAGATTACTCCCATAAGCGCCCCTCCCTATCTTCAGCAGCAAGCGAAGATTTCCATTTCCGATGGTACCAGTATGTCTGATCGCACACTCGTCTCGCGTTCTATTGAGTGTTTAGCGTCGGCCAGATCCCCTGGTAACTAACTGCCCACATTTCCATTCTCCTCAGACAGTAAAGATATATTTGTGCCTCCGCACTGTTCACTCACTTCCAAATGGCCCTCACAACAAGGAGCTTGTCACACATCAATTCATCACC